ACACTGAATGTCTGTATATTCAACTACTTCAGAAGCATTTGCTGAAAACACTTTTTTCCCCCATTGAATTGCTATGACACTTTTTGTCAAAAATCAATTGGCCGTATATGTATGGGTCTATTTTTGGACTCTATCTTCTGTTCTCTTGATCTATATATCTTTTTTTTTCACAGTGACACACTGCCTAGATTAATATAGCTTTATACTGAGTTTTGAAATGAGACAACTTAAGTCTTGCTCTACCTTGCTCTTTTTAAAAATTGTTTTGGCTGTCCTAGGTTGTTTGCATATCCACAAATTTTAGAATTATCTTGTCAATTTTGTAAAAAGTCCTTTTGGGATTTTGTTTGTGGTTGTGTTGTCTACTAGGATACTTTTTCAAAAAGGAACTCATTTCATATAGACCATGAAGGAAATTTTACTAAAGTGTGTGACTATAGTCTCAGGGATGGGGAACCTTTTTTCTGCCAAGGGCCATTTGGATATTTATAACATCATTCACAGGCCATACACAATTATCAACTTAAAAAAATTAGCCTGCTATTCGTCCTAACCCTCTCAGGTTCATGTGGCATGCTCTGATGTTTCCAGAACATTAGGAAATAGAACCCTTTGTCCCTTTATTCTTCACCCTTGTTCACAACGTGAGACTATTGCTCTGCCTTCCTTTACTCTCTTAAGCCTCCTCCTCCATATTTCTGTGCCTGTTTTGAGCTGCTGCTGCCTCTACTTCTGGTAAAGACCTTTCGGAGTGTGCCTGGCTCAGGCCTTTTAAGTGCTGTGTTTGGTACCAGTATTTTGTCTTTAGCTTTTATACGTGATTGTGTTGTCAATCTGTTTTAAGCTGATAGATCAATGGGCTTGTTTACAATGTGATATTTTCTGTTAAATCCAATATTTAAAAAAAAATTAGCCTGCTATATTCAGTCAGGCTAATTTGGTAAGGCGTGTGACGTTAGCTGGTATTGATTTTGTGGGCTTTGTACGGCTCACTGGCCAGACGTTCCCCACTCCTGCAAGGTTGCTCACTTGAGTTACAGGGTAAGGCAGGTAAGGGAAATGAGTGGAGGGATCAGGAATGAGATGATGAATAGTAGCTAATCTCAGGCCACAGTGGAGGAATGGTAGGGGACAATGACAGGAGAACCTAAGCCCTGTCTAGGGGCGGTCACTTCTCAGCTCCATGCATTTTGCCATGAAAGAATATTGTTTCAGTGTTGTCTGCTCTCTCAGTGAAGAGAAGCTGGAAATCCAGATTTTTACTCACTCTTCTAATTGTAAAATTAAAATTGAAAACATTGAGTGGGTCATTATCATGTCGGTCAAACTGAACTCTCTAGGCTAAATGTGGCTTACAGCCTACCAGTCTGTGACCTCTGCCTCAGGCTCATCATCCTTTGGTCCTCATTTTCATCAGCAGCAAGCTATTGTGACAGTGCCACAGATAGTCTCTAAGGTTCTTTCTGGTTCAGTGATTCTACCTTTCAAAAGAGGAAAATTTCAAAATTTCTCAAGGGTTTAGGAGGTAGTTGAGAATATTGACGATAGTGATATTTTGAGAAGTTGCCCAGAGCTTTACATTTTGCAAGCATGGTCATGTCTATTCTTTCTTTTAATCCTTACATTGTCTTTGTAAAGTAGACAGCAAAATAATTTGCCCAGCCACGTGGTAGCTCCAGGCTACAAACTCAGATCCTCTAATTCCAAATTCAGTGCTCTTTTTACTGTAGCGCAGCAATCTCCGAAGTCTCTAGAAGTAGGCACTTTGAGAGGGAGAGCATATGTGGGGGACCGTGAGAGGGCCTTCAGCTCAGCAGAAGGCAAGTGTCTAGCTAGATGTAGAATTTAGCTTAGTTGAAGTGTCAAGGTTTTGGGGTAAGAGTTGAAGCCTTTGTGAGAACTCTCTGAAGACAGGAACTGCGGTACATTTTCATATTCATAAACCAGTGCCTACACACAGTTAAAAGTTTATTTATTTTTATTTTTTAATCCTCACCCGAGGATATTTTTCCATTTATCTTCAGATAGAGTGAATGGGAGAGAGAGGGAGAGAAAGGAGGAGAGAGAGAGACACATCGACGTGAGAGGGACACATCGAGTGGTTGCCTCCCGCACAACCCCGACCAGGGCTGGGGACAAACCGGGGACAAACCGCAACCAAGGTATGTGCCCTTGGCCGGAATCGAACCTATGACTCATTGGTCCATGGGTTGACGCTCTACTGCTGAGCCAACCGGCCAGGGCTAAAAGTATTTATGTAAGTGAATAAATGGATGGATTGATGGAAGAAAGAATCAAAGGCTTTAGATCAAGAGGGGAGAGAGTTTTGTCTAGAGCAGCGATTTTCATCCTGTGGTTCTCGAACCCTTTGGGGGTTGAACGACCCTTTCACAGGGGTCACCTAAGACATAACAGTAGCAAAATTACAGTTATGAAGTAGCAACGGTTAGAGCGTCCGCCTGCGGTCCGGAGAGACCCGGGTTCGGTTCCCGCTAAGGGCACGTACCTCGGTTGCAGTTTGTCCCCGGCCCTGGTTGGTTGTGCGGGTGGCAGCCACTCGATGTGTCCCTTTCACATCGATGTTTCCCTCTCTCTCTCTTCCTCTCTCCCTCCCACTTTATCTGTACAAAAAAAAAAAAAAAAAAAAAAGAAAATAATTTTATGGTTGGGGGTCACTACAACATGAGGAACGGTATTAAGGGTTACGGCATTAGGAAGGTTGAGAACCATTGGTCTAGAGAATTTAAAGGACAGAGCAGTCAAATGCTTCTGGTAAGAGCTTTGAGAATGTTAAGATCAAAAGCTGAGAGTTGGTTCTTATAACTCACCTGATAGATGGGAAAGCCCACCATGTCCTCCTCTCATTTGATGCTCAGATCTGGGTTTTGTTTTAATAGATCATAGCCATCTCCCAGGGAAGTATACTTGAGAAATCAAATTCTGTGGGTATAAGGGAATTAAGGCTGTCAAAGGGTTTTGTATGCCTTTAAAACTTCCAAACAAATATAAGTTTGTGTCTTTTGGAGATACATGTTGAAATAAGAAACGATATGATTCCTGGGATTTCTTTTAGTGAGTGCTGTGGGTAGTGGAGTGGGTAAAGGTGGATCAGGATTAGACTTAGCCCAGCCGGTGTGGCTCAGTGGTTGAGCATTGACCCATGTACCAAGAGGTCGCCGGTTTGATTCCCCCAGTCAGGGCACATGCCCAGATTGTGGGCCAAATCCCCAGTGTGAGGCATGCAGGAGGCGGCCAGTCGATGTTCTCTCTCACCAATGTTTCTATCTCTCTCTCCCTCTCCCTTCCTCTCTCTCTAAAATCAATAAAGAAAAAAAAGTTAAAAAAAAAAAATTAGACTTAAGTTGGGAACATTATCGAAGCTGGAGGATGGCTACATAGGGTTTCATTATGCTTATGTCTATTTTGTGTATATTTGAAAGTTTTCATGATAAATGGAAAAACAAAAGTTAGAGTGCTTCATGGGCTCAGCAATACTTTTGGTTAGCCAAACTTCACTCTTCTTGGAGCTTGTAGGTAGTATGATCGTTGAGAGAGAAATGAAAAAAAAAAAACAGGAAAAGAATGTGGCAGAAATAAGAAAGAATGTGGGTTTTTAGTTAGACCACCATAACCTGGCTTCCTTTAGCTTTGTGACCTTGCACAAGTCTCTGAACTTCTCTAAGTCTGGTCTCCAGGTCTGTAAAAGTGGGATAATGCAGTCTCCACGGGTAGTTTTAGCGAAGGTTAGAGATGAAGTGGACAGTAGAGACTAAGATCTGGTAGTTTTGTTTTGTTTTTTAATTAGACAAAGAGAAAAAGTAATGAAAGGGTAAAACTCTGCCTCAGGGTTCCCATCTACCCCTTTCTTCCCAGCATGAATTATAAGTGCCAAGGGTTATGTAACCACAGAGGTAATTTATTATTTTAGAAAGAGAACTCTTAAAGACCAAATTGGACCACTTTGGGGTTTACAAGAACTGTAACCAGTTTATTGCCTTTTGAAAAATGAAGTAAGGAAGAACTTGCAGAAGAAAGGCATATATCAAAACAGTGGAATACCATTTTATACCTGTTTCATTGGCCTCCTTTCTTACCCCAATTAATGATCATATCCAGTGTTAGTGAGGTTTTTGGCAAAACTATTTACTCATATGTACATTGGTATACCCTTTGGAAAAACATTTTAGCAGTATGTATTGACAGCCATTAAAAGGCCGGTACCCAGAGACTTACTAATCACTCTTTGGCATGTGTCCTATGGAAATATTTGATTCAGAAGAAGAGTTATGTTGCCATTAAATATCTTTATGTAATATAGAAAAGGCTTGTGATTGTACTTATGATATTACAGCTACACAGTTATTACACATAAAGGTGAATGACTGGGAAGGAACATGGAGAAGGGAGAACAGTCAATGTCGCAGAGTTGTAGATAGTGGCTTAGTTTGTCTTCAAGAAATCCTTTATTGCTGTTAAAGATTGTGCCTGCAGCCCTGGCCGGTTTGGCTCAGCAGTTAGAGCATTGCCCTGTGGACCAGAGAGTCCCGGTTCGGTTCCCGCTAAGGGCACGTACCTTGGTCCCGGTCCCGGTTGGGGTCGTGCGGGTGGCAATCAGTCAGTGTGTCTCTCTTGCATCGATGTCCCCCCCGCACCCCCCCCCCCCCCGCTCTATCTGAAGATAAATGCAAAAATGTCCTCAGGTGAGGATAAAAAAAAAAAAAAAAGATTGTGCCTGCATGCCTACACATATACACTCAATGACCTTGCAAGAGTGCCTTACTGTCATGGCGCACAGGACATTTGGAACATGGGTAAATTCTTTCCAAAAATAGACTAATCAAAAACACGAAGCACCGGAAACCTAATAGTTTTAAGTAGAAAAGAAATTGAAACCAAGACTTTCACCCTTGAACCATTTCATTACAAAACACCATACTTTGATGCTTTCTCCAAACTTTTGCTATCATCTCTCAAAAGTCTTGAAATCTTCTTGTTACCAGGTTCAATTTCAGAAGCTTCAGCAACTGCGCCTAACACAGTACCATGGCGGATCCTTACCAAATGTGAGCCAGCTGCGGAGCAGTGCATCGGAATTTCAGGTACCTCCGGATATTTATTTCTTCAAGCTGAGTGGACCGTAAAAAGATAGGCAGAGATTATCCTTAAAAAGATTAGATCTTGAAGGTTAAACCTGTCCTAGATACAGTTCAGTGTTCTTCTGGGAAGTTTATCATTATTCTCTTTCCTAGTTTTTGCAGCATTAAGATAGTGTGATTTTACAAATGGCCTAAGGCATCACTGTCCAGTAGAAATTATAATGTGAACCACATATGTAATTTAAGCTTTTTTGGTAGCCACATAAAGAAAAGAACAGGTGGAATGAATTTTATTTTATTTAAATAATTATTTAACTCAATATATTAAAAAATCATTTCAACATATAATCAATATAAAAACATTAATGAAATATTTCACATTCTTTATTTCTTGTATTGTCTTTGAAATTTGTTTATTTTATACTGAAAACACATCTCAATTTGGACCAGCCACATTTCACTACCTTCATTTGTCTAGTTTCTAGCCCATTAAAGAATGCAGATCTGAGGCATAGACAAGTGGTCTATATTGCATTTGGATTAGTGCAGTGTCATACATGCTTTTTTTTCCCCAATTCTCACCCGAGGATATTTTTTCCATTGATTAGAGAGTGGAAGGGAGGGAGGGAGAGGGGAGACAGAGAAACTGATTGGTTGCCTCCCTTACATGCCTCCCAATGGGCTGGGGATTGAACCTACAATCCAGGTACATACCCTTGACCAGGAATCGAACCCATGACCCTTCTTTGCTCAGGCCAACACTCTATCCACTGAGCCACACCAGCCATGGCTTTCATAGGTGCTTTAATCATATCAGTGAAGAGCCTGTTCAAAACCATGTGAAACTGGCGTTTCAGTTTCACTGGTATATGATGCTTTTGTTAAGATCTGAATTAGACTTACTGAGATGTCCTAGTCTCTGAAAAATTAGTCTATCACTCTAAATATACAATTTAAGATTTGGTGTTAAAGTCGAGATATAAACTTTAAGATATAAACTTTTTGATTCATTTGGATGCCTCTCCATTTTAAAAATAGTGTTTCTTTGTTGTGAAAACTGGGTTCACTTGTTTGATGATGTGCCATGAAGCAAAAGTATTGTTTAAATTGGAGACTTCCATTTGAGAGTGCTAATGGGAATTCCGAAAAATAATAGTGATTACAGAAAGTACAATATGAGCAGATTTGTACCTATTACACTGGAATCTTGTCTTTAGTATATACTGGAATGTCACTTCAGTATTGCCAGTGTTGCCCTGGCCAGTTTGACTCAGCTGTTAAACATTGGCCTGCGGACCAAAGAGTCTCCGGTTCAATTCCAGTCAGGAGCATGGTACCTCGATTGTGGTTCGGTCCCTGGCCCTGGTCAGAGTCATGCGGGAGGCAACCAATCGATGTGTTTCTCTCACATTGATGTTTCTCTCTGTCTTTCTTCCTCACACTCTATCTGAAGATGAATGGAAAAATATCCTCTGGGGAGGATTTAAAAAAAAAAATACTGCCAATGTTAGAGGTCTACCTCTGTAGATCATATCTTTTGTACGTTGGCCTATTGGATCATTCAGTATCCAAATAACGTAGATCTCTGTCTTGTGCAGAACATAGAACATTGTCAAGGTCAGCTGTTCTTGAGATCCCAAATCTGTGGCACTTTATTGTAAGTTTTAGAAGAATACAGATTTTATTATCACGTCCCTCTTCTGTTGCGTTGGAGAATGGGATGAAGTGACAGCCCTTGACTGACCGTCCCAGGATTCTTTCTTTGAATATACTTTATACTTTGAAATAATCACATACTTACAGAAAAGTTGGAAATACCATACAAATAATTATTCCGCTTTGATAAGTTGCTGACCTGATGCTGTATCACCCCTAAAATATTTCCTTGTGTATTTCCTACACGCAAGGACATTGTCCTACATAACCAAAATAGAGCCATTAAAATCAGGAAATGAGCAGTGATAATTGTTACCGTCTAATACTCAGACTTCATTTAAGTTTTATCAAATGTCCTATTACTCTCTTCCGTAGTAAAGGGATCCAGTTCAAAATCTCGTGTATTTAGTTATCGTCTTTCATCTCCTTCAGTCTGGAACAGTTTTTCAGTCTTTTATTTTTGACATGAAAAAATTTATTTTTGACCTTTGTGGCCTTGCCACTTTTGAAGAATATCCCTTAGTGGGGTTTGTCTGGTGTTTTTTTTGTGTATGTGATTAGATTCAGATTATGCATCTTTGGCAGGAATAGCACAGAAATGATGTCATTGCATCTCATTAAGTGGGTGATTTTCATTTGTCCTGTTACTAATGATGTTCATTATAATTAGGGTAGTGGCCTTGGCTGGTGTGGCTCAGTTGGTTGAGCATCGTCCAATGCACCAAAAGGTCGATGTTTGGATTCCCAGTCAGGGTACATGCCTGGGTTGTGGGCTCGATCCCCAATAGGGGGTGTGCAGGAGGCAGAAGATAAATGTTTCTCTCTCTCTCTGCCTTTCTGTCTCCTCCTCTCTCCCTTCCTCTCTCTCTAAAAAATAAAAAACAACATTTAATTAGGGTGGTGTCTGTCAGTCTTCTCCACTTTATTTATTTATTTATTTATTTATTTATTTATTTATTTGTGGTATGTGCCCCTAGCGGGAACCGAACCCGGGACTCTCTGGTCCACAGGCCGATGCTCAACCGCTGAGCCAAACTGGCCTGGGGAGTCTTCTCCACTTTAAAGTTATGCTTCCCCTTTGTAATTAGATAATATTTGTGAGGAGATACTTTATTTTGATCATCAAACTTTTAATTTATACATTATTTTTCTATATGATTTTGCAGTTTCTTTTAAAAATTTTTTTAATTAATCCTCACCTGAGGATTTTTTTTTCATTAATTTCTAGATAGAGTGGAAGGGAGGGAGGGGGAGAGAGAGGGAACAACACTGATGTGAGAGAGACACAATTGGTTGCCTTGCATGACCCCAACCGGATCTGGGGATCAAATCTGCAGCCGAACTATGTGTCCTTGACCAGAAGTGGAACCTGCGACCCTTCAGCACACAGGCTGACACTCTAACTGCTAAGCCAAACAGGCAGGGCATGGGGGTTTCTAATTTTATTCTATGGGGAGTAATCTATAATTATTATTATTATTATCATTTTGATCCGCACATTATCCCTGATTAGGCCACTAGGAACCCTCTTCCCAGGATTCTTGACAAACTAAGAAAAAAAGGGAATCCCAGAAGCACAGATTTTTTTTAAGTAAACATTTTTAGGTATAATTTACATATAGTACAATTGACCTTTGTTAGGTATACAGTCGGAATAACTAGCACCATAGTTAATATACAGAACAAGCCCTGGCCAGGTAGCTCAGTAGAGCATCATCCAATGTGTCAAGGTTTCAGGTTCACTTTGGGTCAGGGCACATTCAAGAAGCAACCAATGGCCCTGGCCGGTTTTCTCAGTGGTTAGAGCATCGGCCCGTGGACTGGGGAGTCCCGGGTTTGATTCCCACTGAGGGCATGCACCTTGGTTGCGGTTTGTCCCCGGCCCCAGTTGGGGTTGTGCGGGTAGCAACCAATTGATGTGTCTCTCTCATGTCAATATTTCTCTGTCTCTCTTCCTCCCTCTCTCCCTCCCGCTCTATCTGCAGATAAATGCAAAAATATCCTCAGGTGAGGATAAAAAAAAGAAGCAACCAATGAATGCATAAAAGTGGAACACCAAATCGATGTTTCTTTCTCTCTTTCTCTTCCTCTCTCTCAAATCAATTTAAAAAAAAAATGTATTCAGCCCTGGCCGGTTTCGCTCAGCGGTTATAGCATTGGCCTGCGGTCCAGAGAGACCTGTGTTCGGTTCCTGCTAGGGGCACGTACCTTGGTTGCAGTTTGTCCCCGGCACTGGTTGGGTCGTGTGGGAGGCAGCCACTTGATGTGTCCCTTTCACGTCGATGTTTCTTTCTCTCTCTCTTCCTCTCTTTCCCTCCTACTCTATCTAAATGAAAAATGGGGAGATGTCCTCGGGTGAGGATAAAAAACAAACAAACATAAAAAAATGTATTCACATTGCTGCACAACCAATCTCCAGAACTTATTCATTTTACAGAACTGAAACTCTGTACCTACTAAATAACAACTTCCCATTCCCGTTTCCCAGCCTTTAGCAACCATCTTTCTACTTTTCTGTCTCTGTGAATTTACTGTGGGTACCTCTTGTAAGTGAAATCATGTAGTACTTGTCTTTTTCCGACTGGCTGTTTCACTTAGCATAATGTCCTCAAGCCTCATCTATATACTGTAGCATATGACAGGATTTCCTTCCTTTTTAAGGCTGAATACTCCTCCAATTTATGTATAAACCACATTTTAAAATTATTATTATTTTTTAATCCTCACCTGAGGATATTTTTCCACTGATTTTTAGATAGCGTGGGAGAGAGGGAAAAGGGAGGGGGGAGGTAGGGTGGGATGGAGGGGGAGAAGAGAGAGAGAGAGAGAGAGAGACACACACAACAATGTGAAAGAGACACATCCATTGGTTACCTCCTGCATGACCCCGACCAGGACCAGGACCAAACCTACAACCGAGGTACATGCCCTTTACCAGAAATTGAACCTGAGACTCTTCGGTCCGTGGGCCAAAGCTCTAACCACTGAGCAAAACCAGCCAGGACTAAAGCACTTTTTGTTTATCCATTCATTCATCCATCGATGGGCATTTGGGTTGCTTCCACCTTTTGGCTTTTGTGAATAACACTTCTGTATACATGGGAGTGCAAATATCTCTTCCGGAACATGATTTCAATTCTTTTGTCTGTATACCCAGAAGTGGGATTGCTGGATTATATGGTAATTCCATTTTTAATTTTTTGAGGAACTCCCACACAGTTTTCCACAGTTGCTATACCATTTTACATTCTCACCAACAGTTTGCAAAAGTTCCAATTTCTCCACATCCTCACCAACACTTGTTATTGTCTAGGATTTTTTTTTTTTATAGTCAGACTAATGGGTGT